AAAATATTTCTTGTTGTTTTGGTTGGTTTTGATTTTCTATGTTTTTTTTGGGCAATTGGAAAAAATTCTAGACACAATGGTAAAAAAATTTATCACTTTTATTGACAATTTTCATACAAAACAAAGTCAAACGAATGGTATTCGATATGGTAATTTTTATTTTTTTTTGGGCAAGTGAAACAAATTATAGACCTAATGATAAAAGAATTTTATCACTTTAATTGACAATTTCCATGAAAAATAAAGTCAAATGGACGCCAAACTTTCAACATTTTCCAGGTGGAAAATTATACCAATCAAATACGATTAATTACAGTTCCCAGTAAAACAAATTCTAAACAATTCAATTCCCTAGAATTCATTATATTTCCACACATTTTCCACATTTACAATCAAACGGATCCTAAATGTATTGTCAAAATAAGAGTACGATAGAAAAAAATACAGTCTTGTTTGGTTTTGTTAAAAATAAGATATTTACTAGATTTTGATAAAAAGTTGTTGAAATATGTGGTTGAATCACTGAATGTGCATAATATTTTGTGCAAGATAAATAAAAGAATTAAAAAAGCCAAAGCACGCACAGACATATATGTAGTCCATTACCAGATACATTGACCGGAAAGTGGCCGTGCTGAACCAGAAGGTCAAAATGGTAAACCATCGAAAACACCGACGCCGACATCGGCCAGAGCACAGCTAACGGAATGTTCCTTCTAGAAGCTACATCAGCCGCCCAAGGAACAACAGCGTCAGCGATAATCAGCGTCGGAGAAAGCTGAAGCTCGTCCAAGAGCCGCTCGAACGGTTCTTCCATTTTACTCCCCACAGCCATGGCGAATCCATTCGGGTCGGATCCTCGAGCATGCTCCGACGGTATAACATTTGGAATGGTGGCGAAGCAGATATTATCTGGCTTGGCTGTGGAGCCAATCAAGCCGAGCCACTCCTCTGTCAGTACGAAGGTTATTAGAATACTGCTGCTCTTTCCGGCCACCAGTTTGCAGAGGTCCATCATCGGGTTGATGTGCCCGCGGCCGGGATATGGCATGGCCATCACGTGGCAGGACGGTATTGGTTTCATGTCTACTGTACCAAAATCTAACTGAATTCACCGAAGGAAAGAAATGAATAGATTAATGCAGAATGAAACCGGAGAAGAAAAAAGCTCAGAGGATAGGAAAAGGTTTCGTCTCCGATATGTTGCTGGGATGAATATTAAAGGGATAATCAGTAATTACTTTATTGAACTTTTAGGCGACTCCAAACATTTTCTCGTTAGTCACAGAATTTGATAAAATATAATTTAATTTATCATTGAGAACTTCAAAAATTTTCACGTTACAAAATATAATCCCATCCTCTACATCACGAGATGGAGTTACATTTTTGAAAGTTCAATGACCCCCTAAAAGCCATACACAAAATTTAGTAATCAATCAGGTAATTAACCAATCTTTATATATCTTTTAATCTATTTCTTTCCTTTTTTATGTAGAGCCTGTTTGGTAGGGATTTTTGGGGGAAGAATTGATTTTGAATAGTGATATGATGGGAAATGTGTGGTCGAAAAAGAAGAAAAAAGTATTGATGTGATGGAAAATATTATTTTATTGAAAAATGTGTG